GAAACTAACTATGGTCCGTTTCTATTCTTACTAGGACCTATCTATGGACAAAATACAAGCGAAATCAATTTTTCGACCTGTGCCATTGATAGGCGATTTAGGTCCATTTTTATAGGCATTCACTCTTAAAACTCAAAACAGTTACCTCAAATACTTCTCATTGTTTATGGAAATACTTCAAATACATTTCTCAGTGACCTGTTAATTGCAGCGCTGAGTGAATACTCGTGACGGGTCATTCAGTCGTGCACATTGCTTAAGGAATTGTTCAGCAGTGTTTCTCTCATTGAAAAAATCATTCCAATGATAGAATATTTTGTTGAAACAGAGCCTCGCTGTCGCTGTGTAATACTCTTCTGAAAAACATTACTATAATTATATTGTAAACCTAAGTATTTAGTGTATAGGCGAATCGACTTCAATGTAGGCGAATCAACTCAGATCGTGTAGGCGAAACGACTTCGATGTAGGCGAATCCACTTGTAGGCGAAACGACTGGTTACCAAATGACACACCCGTTTTAGCGTCGCTCGCCGTTTCATTAAAGGGAAGGCAAGGGCGAGGACATGTACATGTTCATCGACGTCCTTTCTTCAGGCAAGTTTATGTTTCCTTTTCCTCTCTAGTTGGTGTGATGTCTGGAACTCATGATTTTTGAGTATTCCATACAGAAAAAAAGAACATCTGGGGCATTATGTTCTGGGTCATATGACTTTTTTGAGACTTGGTTCTAGCCCACTGTCGGACTTTATTAGGTAAATTAATTGACTAATATTTCTCCTCTCCATCGTCACTTATGCAACTGACTGTTTTGGATTAATTGACTGGCATTCGTAAGTATTGCGTTTTACGAACGCAATCATGAAACTATAACGAAGTCTAACATGCTCATTAAAAGGCTCTATAATAAGATTTCAAGTGAATTAATCAAATAACCATAAGCCAACCAAGATAAATGAACAGCTTAACCGTTTTCATCTGTTCTCTCCAGGTTGAAGAGAGATATATTAATAGAAGGTACGTGAGATGAAGACAGCCATCAATTTTGATTGAACCTTGGATCGGAGATTGCTGAACTTCGCTTCTGGTGTCATCTAAGCTACGTCTGTCCTACGACATCCTAGGGGTATTTCTAAGGGTATTTCTGCTCCCCTCTGGATGGTCCATCGCAGGGTTACCCCCAGCATTAAAAACTTCGTTAAGGAGAAGGGGCATACAGGAGGGATGGATGCAGGGTGGATACCAGAGAAGAACGTTCACGTTCCTACAAGATTTCTTAAACAAATGCGAAACCACTGCAAATTATTGCTGTTTTCTGAAAATTTGTGAAATTGTTAAACTCCAGGGTATGTATAACACGACCGCAAATTCGTCAGTTTACTAAGTGAGGGTAAAACAGGGTTGTTTTTTGACATTTCTTTTATCTCTAGGCTGAAAACAGATCAGTGTTGAAAGAATGTGTCTCCATTTTGCATCGCAGGGTATTCTTCGACTCTGGAACAAGTTTGCTATTGGAAACATCAAATTCAAATAAATGCATTATTTCTTATTAATTAATATTAAGAGAATATGAGAATTTGAAACCAGTAATGAGAATTAACATTTTGAGCATGGGATGCACCTTAAGATCGGTTAGCACTCAGTTCGTTATTTTGGGTTTACTCTGAAACTGTAGAATATTGTGTCTTGCGATTTTCGTTTTCAAACTAAATTCCCATTTCGTATTGCATATGACACATCGATCACTAACCAGAAACAAGCGAATTAGAAAACGTTAATTAGAGAACAAGATTTTTGCTAAAGAATTGAAAACAATAGTCGCTCTTTTTTCGGGAAAAAGCTTCATGAAAAGAAACAGATAGGATTTAAGCGTGCCTACGGTTTTTTGGCATCAAGTCCGAGATCACTAGTTGTAGCTGTTTTCAATGTTTACATCCTGTATCTGGAGTATATATTGTGTAGTATCTCAGTTGAAAGGTTAAAATGTCCAGTTCATAAATTCATTTATTGTAAACTTAGGAAACTGGAATGCTATTAGTACAATTTATCATGGACGGGTCTCGGCATAATTCAGACAAGCTAAGGCTTCTCAAAACCCCTTCTTTAATAAGTCGTTCTTTGAAATAAACTCTACAATAAACCCGTTTTCTCGCCTTTTTATTCCTTGACTGTATGAATGCCGCAAAACTGAAAGTGAACGAGCTCGTAGCTTGACAATTGCATGTCTCATTTTGACTGGCTGGGAACTTCCCAACACAAATAGATCAAGCTAGCGAGGACATCAAAAGAAGTTTTCAAGCATAGATTATAGCTTCCCCTGAGCCAAATGGAGAAAGAGAAATATACACGGCATTTATAGCTTCCAGGAGGACATATCATAATGATGTAGGGAAAGTCTGCATTCCAGCTTACATGCCAATCCACAGCGGCTGTTTATATAACGAGCGTTTCCAACCTCTGCATGCGGAGAAGAGAGCATCATTCCGATGTAAAACAGGCTAGAACCAAGTTTCTCGGGGAGGCAATCGCTCGGGTGGAATCTGGGCACGACGAAGAGACCTCCCGATTACATTTTCATTACTTTCGCTTTCGTAGCTTTCTTCGTATTCGGCAATACTGAACTCTTTATCTCTCAAACAACTGCTTGCAGCTTACACACAGGTGAGTGACAAGATACAATGCTTAACCAACCTTCTAGTATGATGGTCTGTTTCACTAGCAGATCTAAAGAATTCAGTGTACAGTATTATTGAAAGTATCATCAAACTGCGAGTACATTTCAGTCTCCCATTAAACCAAACAATAAAGCCTTAACGCTTTACCTTTCTTATAACTTTGGCCTCTGAAATATAATTAAGGCCAGGATAAGATAAGATCTTTGAGAGTCTTCATAATCAATGTCAACAGGCCAGAGCAACTGTGAAATAAGCAACCGTGGAAAGAACTTGCATTGTATCACTTGTACGGCTTCCGGGTTTTGCCGGATACATCTACGGTGAATTAAATATGCGATCCATCTCATAAATTGACTGAATTTCCATGGCGTTTATTCACATTATAAGTACAGATTTTGACAGGAGACCCTCAGCAGGTCAGTTTATTCTATCAGTTCGTATTTATATAGCCTACTTCAGTTTTCTGCAAATCGATCGATCGATTTTGACTTCGCATTCAACTTCACAACTAGTGAAATTAATTGCTTGTTATTTGTCACACACTGCATGGGTTTGATTATGGAAATAATGCCGTCAACCAGCTCTACAGTAGGGATTCTAGATCTTAGCCTTTTAAATGTTATGCGTCAGAATTTAATTCTAGAGTCTCAACACCGATCGTCAGCGTGTTTTCTTTATTTCATTGATCAGTGCAGTTGCCTTCTAGCGCTTGAGTTACTCTGAGGTCTTCAGGGAGGCATTGGTGTCATTACAAACCTCATTTGTCTCTCAGGTAAGTAAGTGGAATTCCCTGTATTTGATATTTCTTTTACTTGAAATGCACTTGTTGCATAAATTCTTAAATGTTAAATTATACCGCAGTTTCTTCCCTGTGGTGCTGTTTTGAATATTCTGTGAGCGATCAGGCATAAAAGGAATGAATGTTCGATGAATTCATGACATCTTCGAGAACGCGCATTTGAAATTTATTCAACTGAGTTTAGCATTAAGACACTGTTTACAATGATTTGATGTCAGATTTCGTATAAAATCTATTATGGATATGATATTTAACCGAAGGACCTCTGTTGACCGAACTTCAAATTGGTTCCTGCTGGAAACAAATCCTCTTGCATTCTGTTGCTTTAAATTAATTTAACTGTTTCAAGGAAGGACGCCTGAATCTTCCCTTCTTGCTCTAGCTTTAGCCCGCAAAACATTCTTGTTTCGGAAATCCTACTTCTGATTTATTTTAGTTTATGAGAAACTGTACTTTAACTAGTTATTTCATTTATTTTATTTATTACTGTTATTAGAAATATTTTATAGGATTTAACTAATTTATTTTTTATAGTAATGTAAGCGCATTGAGTTTTTTTAAATGCGCCCAAAAAACTTTATTATTATTATTATTATTATTATTATTATTATTATTATTAAAGCATTTCAGATCAGATAGTCCTTCTAATTGCAGCAGTAGGTCAGTTATATGAAAAATTGAGAACTCCAATTTCCCGCATAAGGTATTAACTCTTAGGCGAAATGCTAGGAGATTCTTCGTGCTGATAGGACTTTCTATGTGGGTATGGCTTGTGCTATTTGTTGTACTACTTCCCGTTTTTTTGCCTACTTAAACTAAACTGTAAACTGTAAACTCTTCCTTCATCTTTCCTGTCTTACAACCAGACATAACAAGGCTGGAGGCTAGCCCGAAAATCTAACGGGTCATTTCGCCTTCAGTCTCATTAAAAACAAATGATTACAAAAGTTACCTTATTTGAACAACCTGTCCTGAATTTAATTATACTGTAACTGTAATAATATTTGAAATGAGAGTAATAAAGATGTTGTGATTATTGTTTTTTTTTGTTGCTGTTGCTGTTGTTGTTGTTGTTGTTGTTGTTGTTGTTGTTGTTACCCTTGCATTTACGTGGAGTGTTGACTCAAGCTCTGTTCTTTGCGATTGATTGAGTAAATGCATTTGTAATTCAAGTTCATTATTTCATGTTAGGCGGTTTTCAATTGAGTGTCGTAAGTAATCAGGCAATTACTTCGGTTTTGGTTTTACTTTTACTACGGGTTGAAATTGGTGGAGTCGTGTGTAATTGTTAAGTAATTGGTTTGGTTTTGATGTACGGCACCGTACCGTGAAGAGTCTGCTATCGATTTAGGTCACAAGTTTTTTAATATCATGTATATCAAAAGTATAATTGGAGTTAGTGAAAACATTAGCAAAAAAATCCCTTATGCGATATTCGGTCCTCTCATAAAGCTTCAGCAACTTAAACATGGAAATTCGGATTACCTCGTATGATTTTCTTGAAATATTCTTTGGCAACCTTCGATTGTAATAAATCTTCGAATTATTTTGAGTATACTTCGGCAATCTATGGAAAACTCGACCTCGATTAGTCTTCAGAAGGCTTCCAGAATCCTCGGAAACATTCTGGTGGCTTTCATTTCTCTTTGCATGGAAGACCTAGATTTCGTGTATGTTAGGGAGTTTTGGAAAGGCTGCAAATGATCTTCAGTGATCCAACCAGGAAACCAGATATTGATTTTATTCACGGCCTTTATCTTACTTGTATCCACAATAAATAAATACAATAAAATGCTATGCCAGTGGCAACTCATAGCTTGGCCTTCTTGTCGACGACATCTGGTCGTAGGAATAACACGTGCGCAGGTACCTACGGTCGCAACGTTAATTTCAAATAGGGAAGGTCTGTTAATTTCAATTATGCGAGGATCTGGTGTGAACAGACCAGATCGGTGATCTTGCTTGTTTGGTTTTGATGAGTAATAGTTACGAATAACTCCCGTACGGGTTTTAACTGAATCATAAGGCAAATTTAATTTTATAGAAAAAGAACTGAAGTGGCAAACGTCTTGCGAAGTTCCCGGCAAAATTAATGAAAATTGTTCCTTGATTTTCAGTCTCATTAAACAGGAACTACTTGCCATGGAGAAAGTGGAGAAAATAATTGAAGCCTTAAAACTCTACAAGGAAACCGGGCACAAAGAGGCAGAGGGGAACTCTTACATCGACCTCGGGAGCCTCTACCATGATCTAGGTCAACAAGAGAAATCCATCGAGTATTTTGAAAAATCGCTCTCGGTTTTTAGCGAAATCGGAAACAAAGCTGGAGAATTGAGTACATGCAGCAAGCTTGGAGGCGCCTATGATTCTCTTGGCAGGCATAACAAATCCATCGAGTATTTCGAAAAAGCGCTCTCATTAAGCAAAGAAGTTGAAGACAGAAGAGAAGAAGGGGAAGCGCACAGAAATCTTGCTGGCGCATTCTATGCTCTCAGTTTGCACGGTAAATCGATTGAGCATATTGAAAATGCACTTATGATAAGTGTAGAAATTGGCAACAAAAGTCTACAAGGAGATTCGTACAGCGAGCTCGGTCAAGTGTATTACTCTACTGGTCACTATGACAAGGCCAGATCTAACTTCGAGAAAGAGCTGAAAATAAGACAAGTACTAGAAGACAAACGCGGCGAGGGGCGATGTTGCAATCTTCTTGGTAATGTTTACCATGCTCTCAGTCAGTATGAGAAATCCATCGATTGCCAAAAGAACGCTCTGAAGATAAGCGAAGAAACCGAAGACAGGAAAGGAGAAGGGAATGCTTACAACAGCCTCGGCGAAGTGCACCGTGCTCTTGGCGAGTATGATACATCGCTCAGATACTTGCAGCAAGGTCTTGAAATAAGCAAGGAATCGCGCAATAAACCCGGAGAAGGTATGTTCTACAGCAGTCTTGCCACAGTTTTTCTTGCCCTCGGTGAATATGAGAAAGCGATGGATAACTCTACCAAAAGTCTTGAAATTTGTACAGAGATAGGAAACACACGCGGGAAAGGCAAATCTTACAGCAACATGGCTGCAGCATATAAAGCCCTTGGTCAATCCCAAAGATGTCTGGAGTATTATGAAAAAAGCCTCGAGATCGCCCAATCTCTGGGAGACAAACATGGAGAAGGAACGATGTACAATAATCTTGGTACGATGTTTTATGCTCTTAGTCAATACGAGAAATCGTTAAACTACTACCAGAAAGGCATTGAGGTCTTCAAAGAAATAGGAGACAGACATGGACAAGGAAGAGCCTACCTAAACCTCGGTAACGTACATGAAGCTCTTGCTAATTATCAAAAGTCGCTGGACTCACTACAGGAATCTCTAGAAATCAGTCAAGAAATCGGGGACAAAGAGGCCGAAGGGGTGACTTACAGCAGCATTGGTGACGTATATAGCTCTCTTGGCCAGTTTGAGAAGTCCATTGAATGTCAGGCGAAAGCCCTTGAAATCTACGAAACGACTGGGGGAAAGGAAAGGATGGGAGAATCGTATAACAAGCTAGGCAGCGTTTACAGTGATCTCGAACGGTACCAAGAGGCATTGGTCTATTACGAGAAAGGTCTTGAGATAAGAAAAGCGATCGGTAGTAAGCAAGGACAAGCAGCATCATACAACAACTTTGGCAGCGTCTACTACGAGCTCGGCCAGTATGAGAAGTCAATCCAGAATCACGAGGAGGCGCTGGCTATCAGGAAAGAAATTGGCGACAGACGAGGGGAAGGGACATCTTACAACAACCTCGGTAGTGTATACAGCAAATTACAGCAGTATGACAAAGCAGTTGATTATTTCAAGAAAAGCCTCGAAATCAGTGAAGAGATTGGCAATAAGCTGGGTGAGATAGCATCCCAAGGTCATCTGTGTCTCTTGTGGTACGCTCGTGGGCAATATGGAAAGGCGATTGAGAGTGAGGAAAGGGCACTTGCTGTAAAAGAAGCCATTGACGACAAACGTGGAGTGGTTACCTCGTGCGTCAATCTTGCAAGTATTTACCACGAACATAGCCAATATGAAAAATGTATCGGGCAGTTTAAGAAAGCTATTCAAGTCAGCGAATCCATGTGTGACAAGCAACAACTACTACAACTGTACACCAATCTTGGTGATGTGTATAAAGCTCTGGGCCAGTATAAAGAAGCGATTGAGTGCCACATGGAAGTCCTCGACATCTGCGAAACACTGTGTGACAAAAAGGAAGAAGAAGCATCATGTAGCAAGCTCAGTATTCTGTATAAAGCTCTTGGCCAATACGATAAATCTGTCAAATACAGAGAGAAAGCCCTGGAAATCTGCAAAACTCTACCGGGATATAAACCAGCAGAAGGAAGATCCCACGAGCTTCTTGGTATCTTGTACCATGCTGTCGGTCAATTTGAGAAGTCAGTTGAGTGCGCAGAGAAGGCAATCGAGATTTTTAGAACGACTGGTTTCAGAGGGGCTGAAGGAAGATCATACAGCCAACTTGGAAATCTTTATTATGATATCGGCCAGTATCAAAAGGCTGTTGAAAATCATGAGAAGAGTCTCGAAATCCGGAAAGCCATTGGTGACAAGAAAGGAGAAGGAACCTCCCACAATAATCTAGGCTCCGCGTACTGTGCACTCAATGAGATCAAGAAGTCTATCGTATCCTGTAACAGAAGTCTTGAAATCAGAAAAGAAATTGGGGACAAAGAAGGGGAAATAACGTCCTACAATAACCTCGGTCTTGTCTACCTACTACTTGGGCACCATGAAAAGTCAATTGAATGTCAAGAGAAGGCGCTTGAAATCAGCAAGGAAATTAAGGACAAACAAGGAGAAGGAACGTCATACACCAACCTTGGTGTTGTGTATCACTCTAAATGGGAATATGAGAAGTCACTCTGTTACGAAGGGAAGGCACTCGCGATCTATAAAGAAGTTGGCGATAAAGTACGAGAAGGAATTTCTTACAACAACCTTGGCATATTATATTACATTTTTGGTCAACATCAGAACTCTGTTGACTGTTTTGAAAGGGCTCTTAACATCAAGAAAGAATTCGGAGACAAAGCAGGGCAGGAATCGTGTCACAGCAGCCTTAGCCTTTTGTATATCACCACCGGCGACTATGAGAAGTCTATCGAGAATCTAGAGGAAGCCCTTCAAATTTGCTCAGCCGTCGGCAATAGAGAAGGTGAAATACGCTCCCACGATGCGCTCGGTACAGCAAATTATTTTTCTCGCCGTTTAGAAAAATCAATCCAACACCAAGAGAAAGTGCTTGAATTCAGTAAGGCAGCTGGAGACAGGAAAAGAGAAGGAACGTCTTACAGCAATTTAGGCACAATCTATCATGTTCAAAAGCAATTTGAGAAATCAGTTGAGTATCAAGAGATGGCGCTTAGCATCTTTAAGGAGATCGGAGACAAACATGGAGAAGCAGCGTCGTGCAGCAACCTTGGCAGTACGTTTTGTGCCCTTAGTCAGTACGAGGAGTCCCTGTTGCATCATGAAAAAGCGTTAGGGATCTGTAAAGAGATTTATGCCACAAGAGGAGAGTTGAGATCTTACAAAGACCTTGGCAGTGCTTATCATCTTCAGGGCCAACTGGAAAAGTCTATCTCGTGTTACACAAAATGTCTGGAGATCAGCAAAGAAATTGGGGACAAGCAAGAAGAAGTTGCATCCTACCAGAATCTATACACCTTATGCAATGCACTTGGCGAACACGAGGAAGCTTCCATTTACCTAGAGAAAGCGCAGGCGATTAAGCACGACTCTGGAGAGAGACAACAGGAAGGTCAATCTGACGAGCGACCTGTTCAGTGTGTGTACTACATTTGTGATCTTTACGAAAAATCTATTGAGCGTGAAAAATTCTCATGTGGAATCATCGATGCAGTCCGAGGAGTCGATCCCATTCCGAGAGAATCTGGGGTGAAAATTGAGATGTCGATCAAATATCACGAGAGAGAAGTGGAAATCAGGAGAGCAACCGCTGACAGACATGGAGAGGGAAGATCCTACCGCGCTCTTGGATACGAATACATCACTCTTGGCCAATATAAGACGTCTCTTGACTATTTCGAGAAAGCAGTTGAAATAAGCGAAGTGATTGGCAGCAGGAAAGCCAAATCACACTCTTACAGTGGCCTTGGTACTGTGTATCTTGCTCTTGGCCAGTACGACAAAGCTCTGAAGTATCAAAAGGAGTCATTGAAAATTGATGAAGAGATCGAAGACAAGGATGGAGAAGGAGCATCCTACACGAACCTGTCAGTCATATACCGTGCCTTCGGCCAATATGAAAAAGCAATCGAGTATCAAAACAAGGCACTCGAGATCTGCATTGAAATACAAGACAGGAAAGGCGAGGCTGCATCATACAACAACCTCGGCAGTATATACAATGCTCTTGGCCAATATGATGCCTCAATACATTTTCAGGAGAAGGCTCTTAAAATCAGAAAAGATTTAGGCGACAGAGAAGGAGAAGGAATTTCTTACGTCAACCTAGGCAATGTTCAGTATGCTCTTGGCCAGCATGAGAAGGCCATCGAGTACTTAGAAAGAGGACTTGAAATCGTCAAAGAGACTGGATTGAAAGGAAGAGAACACCTGGTTTTATGCGGCTTAGCCATGAGTCATTTTCAGGAGAAAAGTTTCTCGAAAGCATCCGACTATTTCTTTGGGAGCATTGAAGGCCACGAAAATGTAAGAAAGTCTCTTAAAGATGAAGACAAGCTCTCATTAGATGATCAAAACATTTCATTTTACAAGGGACTGACAGAGACGTTGATTTTCCTTGGTAAGGTAGATGATGCCCTCTGTACAGCGGAACGGGGACGGGCTCGTGCTCTCTTAGATTTGCTATACTCGAATTTTGGAATCCAGGAGGTTAATAAAACAAGTGAATTCACTCTGAGTTCGTTGGCAAGCCTCTTGGAAAAGCAGCGGAGTGATTTTCTTTTCATGAGCATCATAACGGAGCAAATCTATCTCTGGGTCATGGAAAAGGGTGGCAAAATAAACTTCAAGATTGGAACAGAGCTATCAGCAAATGAGAAAGAAAAGTCTTTGCGAGATCTTGTAGCGATCACTTTGAAATCCTTGCCAACAGACGACAGAGAAGAATACGATGACAGATCCTTGTCAGCATTCTATGAAGACGAATCATCAACAGCAGAAGAACAAAGTGAAGCAACCAGTCAGCACCATCTCCGAGGTAACGAAGAAGAAGAAAGAGGAGCCAATCTAAAAAGGTTGTACCAAATGATCATTGCGCCCATTGCTGATCTTATCCAAGGTCCAGAGATTGTCATTGTCCCAGAAGGAGGACTGTTCTTGGTCCCATTTGCAGCCTTGCAAGATTCCGATGGAAATTACTTGTCACAAACATATCGAATCCGCCTCACTCCCTCTTTGACATCACTTCAGGTCATTCAAAGTTTCCCAGAAAATTACCAGTCTCAAACTGGGGCATTGATTGTGGGCGATCCGACGGTTGGCCTTGTGGAATTTGATGGAAAAGTCGGGGTTTTGAAACCTCTACCAAATGCCAGAACTGAAGCAGATATGGTCTCCCGGTATGTTCCAGCACCATATTTCAAGCTTATTGGAGAGCAAGCCACTAAGGCTGAAGTATTGAAAAGAATCCAGGAAGTAGGGCTAGTGCATATTGCAGCCCATGGTGATGCAGAGAGAGGAGAAATTGCCCTTGCGCCAAAGGACCGTACCGCTGAAATCGTCAAAAAGGGAGATTTCATGCTGACAATGGAGGACGTAGCAAAAGTCGGCATAAAGGCCAAGCTGGTAGTACTCAGCTGCTGTAATAGTGGTCGTGGTAAGATCATGACAGCCGAGGGAGTTGTCGGAATAGCTCGGGCGTTTCTTGGATCTGGTGCTCGCTCCGTTTTGATGTCGCTATGGCCTGTTAACGATGCAGCTACCAAAGTCTTCATGAACGTGTTCTACAGGAGTTTAATGCGGGACCAAAAGAGTGCAAGCGAGGCTCTTCACCTCTCTGTAAAGAAATTAAGAGAGTCAGCAATATACAAGCACTTCAGGCACTGGGCTGCTTTTGTCCTCCTTGGAGACGATGTTACATTTGATTGACGAATGACTGGTGTGAGTATCAGTAGTATTAGGACTAATTTTTACCCTGTAATCTATCGTAATTTTCCTTCTGGTGTAACACCATCCTGCTGGAAATGCCTTCATATGTGGCAAGTCAACTGGACATACATGAGTAGCGTGTGTGTTACTTTCTCAACAATTTGGTTTTCGGTTCATAATGGTGAGTTTAAATCCGCGGAGAAAGCTGCAGTGAGGCAGTTCGCATATGGGTTAACTCGGGTCGCATTTATTTTAGGAAGAAATGTCAAAAGCTTTCACTGACAGTATATCAATAGCACTTTCTCACTTTTGCTCGTACTGAACAGTTCTGTCGACGGAATAGCTCATTCTCTTTCACTGGACGATTATTTTCGCGGATGTAGCTAGGATCGCCATTCTTAAAATTAAAAGGACTTCTTGGCTATAAGATAGGTAGCTATTCATTTCTATGTGCATATTCTTAATCCACTTGAGAACTTGAGAATTGGTTTGGTTTATTGATGACAACTCATTAGTTTCCCGGCAACGGCTCGTTTAAAAATTATCTTCAAAACAGAGATAGCATTTGTCCCCNCTCTCATTAAGCAAAGAAGTTGAAGACAGAAGAGAAGAAGGGGAAGCGCACAGAAATCTTGCTGGCGCATTCTATGCTCTCAGTTTGCACGGTAAATCGATTGAGCATATTGAAAATGCACTTATGATAAGTGTAGAAATTGGCAACAAAAGTCTACAAGGAGATTCGTACAGCGAGCTCGGTCAAGTGTATTACTCTACTGGTCACTATGACAAGGCCAGATCTAACTTCGAGAAAGAGCTGAAAATAAGACAAGTACTAGAAGACAAACGCGGCGAGGGGCGATGTTGCAATCTTCTTGGTAATGTTTACCATGCTCTCAGTCAGTATGAGAAATCCATCGATTGCCAAAAGAACGCTCTGAAGATAAGCGAAGAAACCGAAGACAGGAAAGGAGAAGGGAATGCTTACAACAGCCTCGGCGAAGTGCACCGTGCTCTTGGCGAGTATGATACATCGCTCAGATACTTGCAGCAAGGTCTTGAAATAAGCAAGGAATCGCGCAATAAACCCGGAGAAGGTATGTTCTACAGCAGTCTTGCCACAGTTTTTCTTGCCCTCGGTGAATATGAGAAAGCGATGGATAACTCTACCAAAAGTCTTGAAATTTGTACAGAGATAGGAAACACACGCGGGAAAGGCAAATCTTACAGCAACATGGCTGCAGCATATAAAGCCCTTGGTCAATCCCAAAGATGTCTGGAGTATTATGAAAAAAGCCTCGAGATCGCCCAATCTCTGGGAGACAAACATGGAGAAGGAACGATGTACAATAATCTTGGTACGATGTTTTATGCTCTTAGTCAATACGAGAAATCGTTAAACTACTACCAGAAAGGCATTGAGGTCTTCAAAGAAATAGGAGACAGACATGGACAAGGAAGAGCCTACCTAAACCTCGGTAACGTACATGAAGCTCTTGCTAATTATCAAAAGTCGCTGGACTCACTACAGGAATCTCTAGAAATCAGTCAAGAAATCGGGGACAAAGAGGCCGAAGGGGTGACTTACAGCAGCATTGGTGACGTATATAGCTCTCTTGGCCAGTTTGAGAAGTCCATTGAATGTCAGGCGAAAGCCCTTGAAATCTACGAAACGACTGGGGGAAAGGAAAGGATGGGAGAATCGTATAACAAGCTAGGCAGCGTTTACAGTGATCTCGAACGGTACCAAGAGGCATTGGTCTATTACGAGAAAGGTCTTGAGATAAGAAAAGCGATCGGTAGTAAGCAAGGACAAGCAGCATCATACAACAACTTTGGCAGCGTCTACTACGAGCTCGGCCAGTATGAGAAGTCAATCCAGAATCACGAGGAGGCGCTGGCTATCAGGAAAGAAATTGGCGACAGACGAGGGGAAGGGACATCTTACAACAACCTCGGTAGTGTATACAGCAAATTACAGCAGTATGACAAAGCAGTTGATTATTTCAAGAAAAGCCTCGAAATCAGTGAAGAGATTGGCAATAAGCTGGGTGAGATAGCATCCCAAGGTCATCTGTGTCTCTTGTGGTACGCTCGTGGGCAATATGGAAAGGCGATTGAGAGTGAGGAAAGGGCACTTGCTGTAAAAGAAGCCATTGACGACAAACGTGGAGTGGTTACCTCGTGCGTCAATCTTGCAAGTATTTACCACGAACATAGCCAATATGAAAAATGTATCGGGCAGTTTAAGAAAGCTATTCAAGTCAGCGAATCCATGTGTGACAAGCAACAACTACTACAACTGTACACCAATCTTGGTGATGTGTATAAAGCTCTGGGCCAGTATAAAGAAGCGATTGAGTGCCACATGGAAGTCCTCGACATCTGCGAAACACTGTGTGACAAAAAGGAAGAAGAAGCATCATGTAGCAAGCTCAGTATTCTGTATAAAGCTCTTGGCCAATACGATAAATCTGTCAAATACAGAGAGAAAGCCCTGGAAATCTGCAAAACTCTACCGGGATATAAACCAGCAGAAGGAAGATCCCACGAGCTTCTTGGTATCTTGTACCATGCTGTCGGTCAATTTGAGAAGTCAGTTGAGTGCGCAGAGAAGGCAATCGAGATTTTTAGAACGACTGGTTTCAGAGGGGCTGAAGGAAGATCATACAGCCAACTTGGAAATCTTTATTATGATATCGGCCAGTATCAAAAGGCTGTTGAAAATCATGAGAAGAGTCTCGAAATCCGGAAAGCCATTGGTGACAAGAAAGGAGAAGGAACCTCCCACAATAATCTAGGCTCCGCGTACTGTGCACTCAATGAGATCAAGAAGTCTATCGTATCCTGTAACAGAAGTCTTGAAATCAGAAAAGAAATTGGGGACAAAGAAGGGGAAATAACGTCCTACAATAACCTCGGTCTTGTCTACCTACTACTTGGGCACCATGAAAAGTCAATTGAATGTCAAGAGAAGGCGCTTGAAATCAGCAAGGAAATTAAGGACAAACAAGGAGAAGGAACGTCATACACCAACCTTGGTGTTGTGTATCACTCTAAATGGGAATATGAGAAGTCACTCTGTTACGAAGGGAAGGCACTCGCGATCTATAAAGAAGTTGGCGATAAAGTACGAGAAGGAATTTCTTACAACAACCTTGGCATATTATATTACATTTTTGGTCAACATCAGAACTCTGTTGACTGTTTTGAAAGGGCTCTTAACATCAAGAAAGAATTCGGAGACAAAGCAGGGCAGGAATCGTGTCACAGCAGCCTTAGCCTTTTGTATATCACCACCGGCGACTATGAGAAGTCTATCGAGAATCTAGAGGAAGCCCTTCAAATTTGCTCAGCCGTCGGCAATAGAGAAGGTGAAATACGCTCCCACGATGCGCTCGGTACAGCAAATTATTTTTCTCGCCGTTTAGAAAAATCAATCCAACACCAAGAGAAAGTGCTTGAATTCAGTAAGGCAGCTGGAGACAGGAAAAGAGAAGGAACGTCTTACAGCAATTTAGGCACAATCTATCATGTTCAAAAGCAATTTGAGAAATCAGTTGAGTATCAAGAGATGGCGCTTAGCATCTTTAAGGAGATCGGAGACAAACATGGAGAAGCAGCGTCGTGCAGCAACCTTGGCAGTACGTTTTGTGCCCTTAGTCAGTACGAGGAGTCCCTGTTGCATCATGAAAAAGCGTTAGGGATCTGTAAAGAGATTTATGCCACAAGAGGAGAGTTGAGATCTTACAAAGACCTTGGCAGTGCTTATCATCTTCAGGGCCAACTGGAAAAGTCTATCTCGTGTTACACAAAATGTCTGGAGATCAGCAAAGAAATTGGGGACAAGCAAGAAGAAGTTGCATCCTACCAGAATCTATACACCTTATGCAATGCACTTGGCGAACACGAGGAAGCTTCCATTTACCTAGAGAAAGCGCAGGCGATTAAGCACGACTCTGGAGAGAGACAACAGGAAGGTCAATCTGACGAGCGACCTGTTCAGTGTGTGTACTACATTTGTGATCTTTACGAAAAATCTATTGAGCGTGAAAAATTCTCATGTGGAATCATCGATGCAGTCCGAGGAGTCGATCCCATTCCGAGAGAATCTGGGGTGAAAATTGAGATGTCGATCAAATATCACGAGAGAGAAGTGGAAATCAGGAGAGCAACCGCTGACAGACATGGAGAGGGAAGATCCTACCGCGCTCTTGGATACGAATACATCACTCTTGGCCAATATAAGACGTCTCTTGACTATTTCGAGAAAGCAGTTGAAATAAGCGAAGTGATTGGCAGCAGGAAAGCCAAATCACACTCTTACAGTGGCCTTGGTACTGTGTATCTTGCTCTTGGCCAGTACGACAAAGCTCTGAAGTATCAAAAGGAGTCATTGAAAATTGATGAAGAGATCGAAGACAAGGATGGAGAAGGAGCATCCTACACGAACCTGTCAGTCATATACCGTGCCTTCGGCCAATATGAAAAAGCAATCGAGTATCAAAACAAGGCACTCGAGATCTGCATTGAAATACAAGACAGGAAAGGCGAGGCTGCATCATACAACAACCTCGGCAGTATATACAATGCTCTTGGCCAATATGATGCCTCAATACATTTTCAGGAGAAGGCTCTTAAAATCAGAAAAGATTTAGGCGACAGAGAAGGAGAAGGAATTTCTTACGTCAACCTAGGCAATGTTCAGTATGCTCTTGGCCAGCATGAGAAGGCCATCGAGTACTTAGAAAGAGGACTTGAAATCGTCAAAGAGACTGGATTGAAAGGAAGAGAACACCTGGTTTTATGCGGCTTAGCCATGAGTCATTTTCAGGAGAAAAGTTTCTCCAAAGCATCCGACTATTTCTTTGGGAGCATTGAAGGCCACGAAAATGTAAGAAAGTCTCTTAAAGATGAAGACAAGCTCTCATTAGATGATCAAAACATTTCATTTTACAAGGGACTGACAGAGACGTTGATTTTCCTTGGTAAGGTAGATGATGCCCTCTGTACAGCGGAACGGGGACGGGCTCGTGCTCTCTTAGATTTGCTATACTCGAATTTTGGAATCCAGGAGGTTAATAAAACAAGTGAATTCACTCTGAGTTCGTTGGCAAGCCTCTTGGAAAAGCAGCGGAGTGATTTTCTTTTCATGAGCATCATAACGGAGCAAATCTATCTCTGGGTCATGGAAAAGGGTGGCAAAATAAACTTCAAGATTGGAACAGAGCTATCAGCAAATGAGAAAGAAAAGTCTTTGCGAGATCTTGTAGCGATCACTTTGAAATCCTTGCCAACAGACGACAGAGAAGAATACGATGACAGATCCTTGTCAGCATTCTATGAAGACGAATCATCAACAGCAGAAGAACAAAGTGAAGCAACCAGTCAGCACCATCTCCGAGGTAACGAAGAAGAAGAAAGAGGAGCCAATCTAAAAAGGTTGTACCAAATGATCATTGCGCCCATTGCTGATCTTATCCAAGGTCCAGAGATTGTCATTGTCCCAGAAGGAGGACTGTTCTTGGTCCCATTTGCAGCCTTGCAAGATTCCGATGGAAATTACTTGTCACAAACATATCGAATCCGCCTCACTCCCTCTTTGACATCACTTCAGGTCATTCAAAGTTTCCCAGAAAATTACCAGTCTCAAACTGGGGCATTGATTGTGGGCGATCCGACGGTTGGCCTTGTGGAATTTGATGGAAAAGTCGGGGTTTTGAAACCTCTACCAAATGCCAGAACTGAAGCAGATATGGTCTCCCGGTATGTTCCAGCACCATATTTCAAGCTTATTGGAGAGCAAGCCACTAAGGCTGAAGTATTGAAAAGAATCCAGGAAGTAGGGCTAGTGCATATTGCAGCCCATGGTGATGCAGAGAGAGGAGAAATTGCCCTTGCGCCAAAGGACCGTACCGCTGAAATCGTCAAAAAGGGAGATTTCATGCTGACAATGGAGGACGTAGCAAAAGTCGGCATAAAGGCCAAGCTGGTAGTACTCAGCTGCTGTAATAGTGGTCGTGGTAAGATCATGACAGCCGAGGGAGTTGTCGGAATAGCTCGGGCGTTTCTTGGATCTGGTGCTCGCTCCGTTTTGATGTCGCTATGGCCTGTTAACGATGCAGCTACCAAAGTCTTCATGAACGTGTTCTACAGGAGTTTAATGCGGGACCAAAAGAGTGCAAGCGAGGCTCTTCACCTCTCTGTAAAGAAATTAAGAGAGTCAGCAATATACAAGCACTTCAGGCACTGGGCTGCTTTTGTCCTCCTTGGAGACGATGTTACATTTGATTGACGAATGACTGGTGTGAGTATCAGTAGTATTAGGACTAATTTTTACCCTGTAATCTATCGTAATTTTCCTTCTGGTGTAACACCATCCTGCTGGAAATGCCTTCATATGTGGCAAGTCAACTGGACATACATGAGTAGCGTGTGTGTTACTTTCTCAACAATTTGGTTTTCGGTTCATAATGGTGAGTTTAAATCCGCGGAGAAAGCTGCAGTGAGGCAGTTCGCATATGGGTTAACTCGGGTCGCATTTATTTTAGGAAGAAATGTCAAAAGCTTTCACTGACAGTATATCAATAGCACTTTCTCACTTTTGCTCGTACTGAACAGTTCTGTCGACGGAATAGCTCATTCTCTTTCACTGGACGATTATTTTCGCGGATGTAGCTAGGATCGCCATTCTTAAAATTAAAAGGACTTCTTGGCTATAAGATAGGTAGCTATTCATTTCTATGTGCATATTCTTAATCCACTTGAGAACTTGAGAATTGGTTTGGTTTATTGATGACAACTCATTAGTTTCCCGGCAACGGCTCGTTTAAAAATTATCTTCAAAACAGAGATAGCATTTGTCCCCGCCGTTGTTGTATCTTTATAGCGCTCCCAACACCTCTAATTTGTCTTATCTTGAATTCTTTTGCAGATGAAAACACAGCAAATGGTCCCTTTTATTTCAGCCAGCAAAGATGAATTTGTACGCTATGGTGATTGCTGCGTGGAGCACAAAGAAAACAGGGTTTCGAGTGTTGTAGACATTAACAAAAATCTGCCAACAATTCCTTAGTCTTTTCTCTGCTAGAATCCTCGCGAACCCTTTAATGGTCTTTAATTGATGATCTCTAATTTCACGAGGCATAGTTTGCTTTTGTGTATAGCAAATATATAAATAATTTCAAGTTGTTCTTACCAAAATGATCCATAAATCAATTCACACTAACATGCATACTGCCTTAAGACCTGGTATGACTCAATAGTAAAAAGGTTGTACCGTTACCAAAAGTAATGGTTTGATCAGCTGGAAACAAATTTTCGACTTTGCATTGGCTCCCCCAGCTAGTCAATGCTGATTTCAGCCGTGATTGGCTTTGACACAGTGCTTATTTTACTTATTCTGTACGAAAAAGTTAAGTTTCTCTGTAGGCTGAGACAGAGAATTTATAATTTATATTAGTGTAAACATTTCAGTCAGAGCCAGTATCGTTTGCATGGAGTCACTATTGCGTTGTCGCTTTCGAGTTCCATGGGAAGGAACTTTGTAGGATAGGCATTTGTTTAAAACTCATTCAGTTATTTTTTCAGTCAGTTATTTCATTTGTTATTAGATAACAATTGCTGATCAAAGTTATAATATATACTTGCTAATGAGTTCGATCATAGACTTCTTACAATGCATATAGCATAATGATTTCTGAGAGCATTACTTGAATATGTGATGATTGTAGAAGCCGAATATTCTGTCTGCTTTATCCTGTTTTCATGACGTGTAAGTTAAGCTCAAGGAAATAAATTGAAATTATCATACCTTAACATAACCTTTCATCAGCTTTGCAAAACATGGTCCGTTTCGAATTTATGCAAATTACTCGACTGAAGGTTACACTTGGAAATGTTGATATATTTTTTCAATTCAGTTTTTCTTTAGGGGAGATTTAGACGGTTCAACTTTGTGTCATACGACTAATTCGTCTCTAGTTTAAATTCGGTCAGTTTTTGGCATGAGTAGAGATAACAGAATGGACGCAAATATTAGGAGAACAACGGATTTTATTGGTCATCACACTTGCTAGCGAAATTTCTCAGCACAAAACACATCTTTTTCATCTAGGACAGTCGCTAGTTGCATTCATCGCGACACTCAACATCTGTCTTCCCGTTCTCTAAGCACTCGTCAACACAATTTTCCACAATGTTGTATGCACTCGGATCATTGATTACATCTCTGTAGTATTCTTCAGCCGTGTCTTCAGAAAGGTCTGCGGTGTCTGAGAAATGAAAAGTCATAGTTAAGTGACATTAAGTGGGCATCAAAATTGCATCCGCTGTTTCCAAGCAAGCATTATTAAGATGCACACATCTGAAAATCGGCTTTTTAATGTTGTTTTTTACAGCCCAGCATTGCCGTAACAGCAGACCTTAGCCTTATTTTACTGCCACTTTCCTTTCATAGAAATTAAAGCATATGGCCTCCTGCTTCTGAGAATTTATTTCGTGGAAAGATAATTGTCTCGTTTCAAACTCTCCTGGCAAGTTCAACACGATAGCTTCGTAAACACACTGTGACGTCACTGACGAAATTATAAGAGCGAAAAGGATCACTAAGTAAGCAGTCTTCATGCTTGAACTACTAGCAAAGAAATATTGAACAATCTGAAACATGTAAATTGATAAAACAAAAACAAACACAAACAAAGGAGAATGATTTTACTCTCTTACACTGCTGGGACCCTAAAAATTATTTAGAGAGGAAGTCACATTAGCCGTAGTTGGTTTTCATGCGGGTCCTCCGTCTTGGGGCGAATTGGAATTTGGAGTTTTGGTTTTTGTGGAGGGAAGGAAACCGGAGAACTCAGAGAAAAATCCTCGAAACGAGGCGAAAACAAACAACAAACTCAACCCACATGTGGTACCGGGCCGGAATCAAACCTAGGCCACATTGGTGGGAGACGAGCGCTCTCGCCACTGCTTACCCAAAACAGGCCATTAGAATATATCACCAAGAGGTACATTGACCTTTTCTTGATGTTACATAATACGTATGAGATCACCTGTGACACCGAATTCCTTATGCTGTTGAAGCAACCTTTGGGGAAATTAGCTGGCAACACCAACACACTCTTCGAATTTCCAAAACTCACTGTTTCTCTTAGGGCTAGCCATCAAGCGTTTATTGTTCCCCTCACCCTTAGAAGTTACCACGTAAAAATGAGTAAGCGGTAATTTACTCCAAAGTAAGGTGAAACTGTCGTCGAAGCTGTCTTTAAAGCCCTGCTTTAGTTCTTTTGCTCAGTCACTAGGTGTCTTCTTGAGAGAGCTATGGATTTGGCAAATACACAACTCGAAAGCGTATAGATAACGAGAAGAATAGATAGTTCAAAATATCAGTAGTTTCTATTTTTCTTTTCCTCGTTATTATTTTGCAGTTCCAAATATCATTGTCATGACTTAAGTCAAAGGCATCGTATGAAGCTGAGCTAACTAATATAAAAATCTCCAGCAATGAAAGAGATTGTTGGTGAAGTAGACATAACAGAATGTACTCAAATATTAGAAAAACAGCGGATTTTAATCTTCATCACACTTAACAGCGATTTCTCTCAGCACAGAATACATCTTTTTCATGGATAATCGCATTCTGCATTACACTCGTCATCTGTTTTCCCGCTATCTTCGCACTCGTGAAAACAAGTTTCATTCCCATTGCAAGGACGCGGATCATTGATTACATCACTGTAGTATTCTCCAAGAAAGTCTGCGGTGTCTGAAACAGCTGAAAAGTCAGTTTAAGGACCTTAACGGAGCTCAGTCACGATATTGTAAGTTATTTTGGTGGTGTGCAGTGTTGACTTTCAATTGATCATGAAGGAAATCTGAAAATAGCAGTTTGCTAAGGTTAAAAACACCAAAGAGATTAAAAACCACAAAGGAACAAGGATGGTTGAGGATGAAGAAGATTGCCATGTAAAGATTACCTGAAACGACGAACTTGAAAAATTTAGGCTAAACTTTTCAAGATGCGCGAGCCATGACGTAGCTCCTTTAAGTGGGCGTAGAGGCGGATCCAGGGAAGGAGTTGAAAGGGTTGCAACCCCCACCCCCTTTAAACAGCAGTTCTTTTGTTATTTGTTTGACTCATCATAAAAGTAATAGAATAAAATAGTTTTATGCGTAGTTTGTTTCACTTCCATCAGTTGACTGAATGTCAAGTTGGGAAAAGACAATGTTCGTTTCGCGACAGTATTATTAGTTTTGATTTTCTGGTTTATAAAAAGGAAACTCCAGATTTTACATCATGTCTTACACACGTTACAAACTTTTTCAAGTGTCAGAAACGCTGTAAATGGTTTTTTATAGGGTAAAATCGGAAACATTCTGCGGGGAGGATGGCCCCGGAGAAGCTCGCGTCTGCGGTGCTCGCCATCAACGCCTGATTAGGGCGAAAGTTGTTAAGGTGTACAACCACCCCTTTCGGGGCCTCCTGGATCCATCCTGAAGCGTCAATGCTCCATCCGCTTTTTCCAAGTAAATACAGTATTCATAAAATTGTATCATGACATCCACACATCTGAAAATTGACTTATTAATTTATTTTAGCCTTTTGAAGCACAGCATTGAACGCCAATACATCGATCATTTTATTTTACTGCTGTGCCAGTTTACTTTCTTTGTTTCATAGAAATGAATAAAACATATAGCTCTCCTGCTTCTTAGGATTTAATTCGTGGAAAAATAATTGTCTCGTTTCAAACTCTTCTGGCAAGATCAAAACGATAGCTGAGAGAGATACGAATCCTACGTAGGAAAAAAAATGGTGGTTGTACATACTACCACAATACAAATGTACCATGCAAACTTGCGATGGACTAGCGTCCCATCCAGGGCGGAGTAGAAATATTCCTAGTCGCTTTGGGATAAGCTTCGGCCTGATGGGCCATTTGCCTCGTATGCAGACTTTATCATTAATGTTTTCGTGCGCTAAAAATCCTGGGTAAATGTACCAATCACCATCTTTTTTCCTATGGGAAGATTGAGCTTTAGTTGCTTTCTGCTTACCTTCGTAAACAGACCGTGACGTCACCGACAAAATCATAAGAGCCAAAAGGATTATCAAGTAAACAGTCTTCATGATTAAACTACAGCTGGACAAAGAGATATTCAAATTCAAATCAATCCCTCTCGCAAACTAATTAAGACAAAAGGGAATGATTTTACTCTCTTGGCAAAACAAAAACGATTACTTTATTTGATGGCTTCAAATAAAAGCACATAGACAAATCAAAACTTGAAACATTCAACTCAAGTATACACTATCGTCAAATCCTGAAGGATATACTATTTCCCAAAGATTTTCGCTAATTCTTGCCTAATGTAGAACAAAGCCATATATGATACCGCAACGCGGACTATACCAAGAACGAGTCCTCGCAACTCACCTAATTTGAAAATGGCAGTGCTAGAAATAAACTTAACCTTTATCTACCTTTTTCGAAAATTCTTATAATAGATTAGTAGAATAGAAGTCTGCTGTAATCAATGTGTACGTGCCTTCTCAAAGTGCGCGGAGATCGGGTCAGAAAGCCTTAACATTTTGGGCTTTTGAATAAACGTGTTTTTCGAAGGTTCTGTCCACTGTTAAAAACGAACAAATTAGTTAGGAAAGTAGTGACTCCGGAAAAAAAATCAGCGAATATCTCACCTGTGGCCGGGGTCTGAATTTAAAGAAGCGGGTTAAAGCCGTTCAATCTACGTCAAGATGCAGAGATCATTAGTTCACGGAAAATCACGCCGACGCCTTTTATTACGCTTATGCTAAGTGATAACACAGTTAATCCCTCTTTATTATGTGTGTGCATTGGCTTAGTATATTCTTCAGACGCAATTAAGTTCTTTAACCCCCTATTTTCAAAACTGCCCAAGTTTTGTACACAGCATAACTATGTTCCTGTACGGCATTTAAATAACACCAGTAATTTCGTAATAACAGCCGATGGAAAGATTCAGTGAAGTCTTACCTGATACGCCCGGCCTGCGACCTAATGGAGTCGAAGATTACAGAAGATCAAAGTACATCGACAGGAGTTGATTTATGGAAAATTCTCCATTGTCGATCCTTCTCAGTTTAACACTGCAGTACGTTAATCCCTCATTGTGCTGTCAACAAAATGCTAGCTTTTTTATGAAAGTAGAAGTTAATTAGTTTTTCCCCAAGAATTTTCTTATTACTGAAAAAATCTCCAAATAGCAAGGTCGGCTGCCAAAACGAATCACGGACCCCTCACCAGGGCAGATTAAACAAGGACAAAGTTTATTAAGGTTCTCAAGGGATCACTAATCTATGAGAACATGCATTGGTCTTTGCTGACTTTTCAATAGCACTGTAATTACATTGTTACCAAGTTGTTTGCAAGTTTAAGAGCAAGGATTATTTCAACAAGAAATAAAACCATTTTAAATCAAAGAGTTTTTGTCTGAGATTTTTCCTAATCGATGATTTGTTATATATTTACAATGAACAACGCCTTGAGAATAGTCCGCTCTTATTAAGCCAAAGTCCCGCCATATTCTTGGAATTTCTGATTGACGTTCTCGTACTAGAAGAGCACGCACACATTAAGGGAAGACTTTTGTGTTTTCAGAAAGTTGTTCCCTCAGTAGT